GTATTGAACAGTAACTTTCCTAACGAAGCACAAAAAGCATAAAAATGTGACAACACTAAGAACACCTCTGTTTCTCTCCCTGCTTGCCTGCACAGACTTAAGAGGTCACCACATAAGTGATGGAGACGTTTGTTTTTAATGCATTCACTAAACATAGACTTGGAAAAAAACATTAGGACAGTACTACAGTGCACAGAGCAGCTGCATGAATCAGTCGAAGTTAAATGAACTGCAGGTAACTGCTGAAAAGATCAGCTCAGCCTCCCACTCTCGCATGTCCCACTCCAATCCATTAGAATAACTATCATCACAGAATGGCCTGGGTGGAAAAGAATCTCAAAGATCATCTAGTAGACCAGGCTGCCCAGAGCCCCATCTAATCTGGCCTTGAACACCTCCAGGGACAAGGGCATCCACAATCTCTCTGGGCAGCCTGTTCCTGCACCTTGCCACTTTCCTTGTAAAGAACTACCCCTGACATCCAACCTAAATCCTCCCTCCCTCAACTTAAGACCATTTCCCCTTGCCCTGCAGTTATCTACCCTCTCAGAGAGTTCATTCCCCTCCTGTTTCAAGGCTCCCTTCAGGTACTGAAAGGCTGCAATGAGGTCACCCCGCAGCCTTCTTTTCCCCAGCCTGAACAAGCCCAGCTCCCTCAGCCTGTCTCCGTAGGGGAGGTGCTCCGGTGCCCTGATCATCTTTGTGGCCCTCCTCTGGACCCTCTCCAACAGCTCCCTGTCTTTCTTGTACTGGAGGCTCCACACTCGGATTCAGTACTCCAGATGGGGCCTCACAAGAGCAGAGTAGAGGGGGACAATCACCTGCCTGTCCCTGCTGGCCACCCCTCTTCTGATGGAGCCCACTGGGATACCATTTGCTTTTTAAGCCGCAAGGGCACACTGCTGACTCATGTTAAGCTTTTCATCCTTCAGGACCCCCAGGTCCTTCTCCACAGGGCTGCTCTCCAGGACCGCTCCTTCCAGTCTGCATGGATGCCTGGGATTCCTCCAGCCCAAGTGCAAAACTCTGCACTTTGCCTGCCGTGTTGAACCTCATCAGGTTTGCCCTGGCCCACCTTTCCAGCCTGTCAAGGTCCCTCTGAATGGCATCCCTTCATTCACTTTACTTTAGGTGTGCTAGTTTTCAGCTGTGTCAGTCTTATGGGACATGCCTGGGTGGGGAATTCTGTTCTAGCGGGTGGCAACCTTGCCCACAGCCTGAGGGGAAAACCAGATGGGCCTCCAACCCATTCTACCATAATTCTACGATGATGAAGTAACCCATCTTCGAGCTGCAGCACACAATTCTATCAACTTATCTTATGACTATATCAAATCTTTTCATCAAAAATGTTTCTGACAAATGAACAGTAAAATAACAAACACAAAACAAACTTCTAGATGGTTTGCCATGCAGACTTCTGAAGTTTTAATTTTAGTTCAATTATTTGCAGTACTTATACACTTCCTTGAATCACTTGTTAAGCTTCCCATGTTAGCAACTGTCTTTTTACAAAGAACTAAACAATACTTTCCAGTAGGCATATCAGCAGCACTTAAAATAGCTGCAGTATTCTTTTCAGTCATCAAAAAGTTTTACTGTCAAAATGGTAATGAAGACCAGAGTCCTTTTTCTGAACTGATGCTAGTAGCCTGACAAACGGCATCCAATAACAGACTGCAAAATTATATTATAAAATAAATAAACCAAAAGAGAATAAAGACATACCCCTTCATCAGATACGCAAGCAAGACGATCTACAAGATCAGGATTATCTATCAAGCTTTTAATATACTCCTCACCTACAAAAGCACACACAAATATTTATGCAAGAGAGGCAGAGAATTTAGGTATAAAGACACTTGAAATTTTATACCTGAGCAATGAATTAAATCTTCATGCCACCATACTTACACGTATAAGCAGTTATCCCTTCCTCAAGGGCTTTCTCCTTATTATTTCTGTCGTTTGTAAGAAAGATAACTTGGATGTCTTCATTCTCCTCATTCTGTATTTTCTTCAAGTGTTCACTGTACCATTTTACTGCTACCCGAATGGCTCTGTCATTGCGGTCATTAGAGCTTTCTCCTTGCTCCTGCTCTATGTATGTTTCTCTAACAATTTAAAATAAAAAAAGAAAAAAAAAAAAAAAAGAGAGAGAGCAGGCAGGGAGAAGGTTAGCAAAGCCAACTACATCAAACAAGAAATCCAAACATCTATCTGCAGTTACAATTATTATTGTTTTCAGACAAACATTGTAGACTGTAGGGACAAAAGAAATACAGCTGAACCAATTTTTAAAACATGTAACATTAAAGAGCACTGAAGGCTTTGGACACAGGATCAAAAAAACTGACGAGGAAATGGCAATTTCTTACACAGTGTCCTCACTGAGGACTGAACAGAACAGCATTCAAGACAAGCACTGCTTGAGCCTTGATGCTGCTGTAGCAGAAACTACATAAAGGCAAATTAATTGCATCCCCCTTTTTTTTTGCTGCTAACTAGCTGATTTGAGTTCTACGGATTGAACTGGCAGTAGTAATAACACATCAGAATTTGTGTAAAATGCATAACCATGATTCCACTGCTCAGGTTAAAGGTCTTGCTGCACAAGTTTATTCAGAATTTTAATCACCTTTTCAGAAGATATGCATGCCAACACCAACTATAAAATGAGAAAGCTCCTGTAACATCCAATTATTCCCCAGCCGGACTTCTTAGATATATCAAGTGTTGTGCACATCAGCCTCATTTTACCTGCCTGATTCACATGTACCAGTTCCTTTACCAAACTTCAGTACAACGTTATACCCTATTCCAAACCCTACCGATGATGTTCATTGGTGAAGGAATAGAAGTGTTTTTCAGGGTTTCCGATCACGTCTCTGATTCGTTTGTACACTGGTGCACTCCGATTCCTGACCTCTTGTAAAACTGTCTGTAGCACAATGACATTCTTAATAACAGGGTCTTCCAGAATATCAATCTGAGGAACAAAATGGAAATGCATCAGAACTGTGGTGTTTTTCTACATGCAGGCTAAATTACCAGGCCCAATCTTGCTGTTGCAGCCTTGTAGCTGGGTAAAAACCTGTTCCTGCTGTCACCACAACCATCGCATCCCCACTGCTCTGGTTCTTCCCAGTGTACCCTGGCAAATTCTCTGAGTGTTCAATAACTGCTAAAATGCCAGAGCGCTCTGCCCTTCTCCTGAGTAACTGACAACAGCCTTCATGAATTACTCAGGGCTACCGAATCATTACGGTTGGAAAAGACTTCTAACATCATTTAGTCCAACCATCGACCCACGACCACTGTGCCCACTAACTCATGCCCCTCAGTGCAACACACAGGCAAACAACATAGTGCAACACATTTCTTGAGCACCTCCAGGGATGGTGACACCACCAACTTCCCTGGATAGCCTCTTCCAATGCACCACCACTCTTTCTGAGAAAATTATTCCTAAAAGTCAACCTGAACCTGCTCTGCTGCAACTTAAGGCTGTCACACCTTGTTCTACTTCTCCCAGTCTCAAACATTTGCACCAGACTACTGCATGCCTTACAGACACATTCGACAGCAATCAAAAAAACCCTCAGAATTCAGCTTGGGAGCTCCTTGCCTCCAGCCTGCTACTGCTCCATCTGCAGAATCACAGAATCACATCAAGCCTTCATGCAATTAGAATCATAGAATCCTTACAGTTGGAAGGTACCTCCAAGGGCCATCTAGTCCAACTGCCCTGCCATGAACAGGAACACATGCATCTAGATCAGGTTGCCCAGGGCTTGATTCAGCCTTGCTGTGAAAGTCTCCAGGGATGGGGCATCAACCACACACATCACCAGGTAACCCGTTCCACTGCATCACCACCCTCACTGTAAAAGATCTCCTTACATCCAACCTAAATCTACCCTCTTTAACGGCCAGGGTTAGAAGGTTCATGACCCAAAGGATCATGAATCTCCAAGCTTGAAACCATTTCCCCTTGTCCTATCATCACAGGCCCTGCTAAAGTCCCCTTCTCTCCTGTAGCTCCCTTTCAGACACTGACAGGCCGCTATCAGGTCACCTCACAGCCTTCCCTTCCCTAGGCTGAAGCGTACCATCCCTCGGATCATTTCTGTGGCCCTCCTCTGTACACAATCCAACAGGTCTACGTCTCTCCTGTTCTGAGGACTCCACACCTGGATGCAGTACTCCAAGTGAGGCCTCACCAGCACAGAGCAGAGGGGCAGGATAACCCTCCCCGACCTGCTGGCCACTCTCTTTTTGATACAGCCCAGGATACAGTCGGATTTCAGGGCTGTGAGGGCACGTTGCTGGCTCATGTCCAGCCTGCCCGTCACCAGAGCACACAGGTCCTCTCGGTAGGGCTGCTCTCAATCCTTCCGCCTCTCATTTTGACGAATTACAAAAAAGAGTCCATCCCACACTCGTGGAATCGTACGCAGCCCCAACGGCCTAAAGCAGGCCGGTCCGGGCGACGCTGAAAGCTCCTCACTGCGGCGGCAGGCAAACAAATCGCAGCCTCGGGAGCAGGCGGACAACAGGGGAAGGCCCAGCGCGGTGCTGAGGGCAGCACGAGCCCCAGGGCCATCCCCACCCGCGCGCACCGAACCGAACCGAGGCCGCGACGCGCTCACCTGGTGCAGGAGAAGGTTGGTGTCGGGCAGCAGGTAGTGCGGCCCGGGGCACAGGTCGCTGGCGGCGCCGCTAGGCCGCGCCTCGAGCCCCAGGGGCTGGCCGGGCTGGCCGGGCCGGGCCGGGCAGAGCGGGCAGGCGTCGGCACCGCAGGGGATATCGTCGCGCAGGTAATGCTCCCGCACCACCTTCACCACCGCACCCGCCCGCGTCCGCTTCAGGAAGGTCCGCGAGGTCAGCATGGCGCCGGCGCGGCCTCTTCCCAGCGTCCCTCGCCGCGCGGGGCGGGAAACAGCGCGGCCGCCGGGTCGCCGTGGTGATGGCGTCTCGCGGCTCCGCCTACCTGCGCGTGCGCCGCCAGCTGTGGCTTTTCCCCGTATCCGGGCGGGCGCGGGGCAGCGCTTTTCTCCCGCCGGCCGTTAACGGTCGGTTGGTCAGCCAGCCGCCCGGGCGCGCTTCCAGCGGGCAGCGCGGCGCCTCGCTACCGCTTCCTGCGGCCGGAACCGCCGCGGGGGCAGCTCTCGGGAAGGAGTCCTCAGGAAAGCGCCCTCTTCAGATCTTCCGTGAGCGTTTTCCTTCAGGGGAGGGGAACGAAGCGTGAGGAATTGCGCTTAGCGGTCTCACTCGGTTCGTTTCCATCACGGCGCAACGCCTTCGTGGTCTCGATTTCTGCCGTTGGCTCTTCAGGGCGGCTCGTAACTTAAAGAAGCAAACGGCGTAAGAAGATGTCCCGTAAAAGCTCCAGGGAAGGCCGGAAGGCGAACGTCTCCAGCTCCCTGGAGTCGGAGGACATCAGCTTGGAAACCACCGTCCCCACTGACGAGCTGTCCTCCTCCGAGGAGCGGGAGGGCGCGGCGCGGGTCACCAGGCAGCTGATCGAGCGCAAGGAGCTGCTGCACGGCCTGCAGCTGCTGAAGATAGAGCTGTCGCAGAAAAACCTCATGATCGACAACCTGAAAGTGGAATACTTGACCAAGGTCAGAGCTGCTACGTGTCTTTTGTCGCGCAATGCTGTTTTTGGTGCTTTCAGTGAGAAGCCTGAGTTCTCAAAAGAACGTCTGTGGGTTGTGTGCTGGAACCCTCGTTAGCTGCTTCTTGAGAAGCTGTGGGTGCCCCATCCCTGGAGGTGCTCAAGGCCAGCTTGGATGGGCCTTGGGCAGCCTGAGCTGGTGGGGGGCAGCCCTGCCCACAGCAGGGCTTGGAAATCAGTGGTCTTTAATTTCCCCTCCAACAGAGTCCATTCTGTGCTTCTTTAATTTGTATTGGTTTTAAATCACAGAAGGAGGGAAAGAGGGATATGGAAGATTTAAATGACTTGGCTGCTGCCTCATTCTTAGGAATGGATGAGGTGGGATCATAGAATCAGAGTGGCCTTGGTCGAAAAGAACCTCAAAGATCCAATAGTTTCAGCCCTCCTGCTGTGGGCAATGTCACTAGACCAGGCTGCCCAGACCAAACTGGTTTTCTTTAGTTTTTCCACTTCCAAAAACAAAGGAAAAATATTTTTTTTTTTTTTTTTTCTTTTCAGAAATTAAAAATGATTAATCACTGATGAGAGCAACTTAACAGGGCTTTTGACCAGAAGTTAGTGAAAGCGAGCAAACCTCATCAGCAGCCTTTCTTGATTTGATAGCAAAGGTGTGGCTAAAGTATACTGGCATACTAATTAATAGTAGGAGGTCTTGTTGTTGTGTACGGTTTCAGTAAAGATGCATGGGATTTTGAAAGGTGTAAAAACTTTGCCCTGCCTGTGTGAGGTTCGTGTTTACAACCTTCCATACAGCTGTGGCTTTCCTTAGCTTGTTGACCAAAGTTTAAAGGATAGTTTGAAAAAGGTTGAATTCAAGTACCTATGTGATCAAAATACATCAGTTCCAGAACTATTTTTTTTTTTTAATTTTGAGTTTTTTAGAGCAAACTCCATATCTTATTTTGCAAAGCTTTAGTGCAATTATAGATTTTGTTATTGTAGAGATCTTCAGTTACTGTACTTTCTAGGGCATTGCATTCTCTACTTGTGATTTTTTTTAAAAAAACATTCTACAAAGAACAAGGTAACTTCATTTTGTATTTATACTTCTTAGATTGAAGAGCTAGAAGAGAAGCTGAATGATGCAATCCATCAGAAGCAGCTGTTGTCTTTGCGACTGGATAGCCAGCTGGCATTGCAGCAAGAAGATGCTAGGTATGGCAAGTAACACAAAAACCTTCATCTTTAATACTTAATCAATGTGAATTCGTGTTAATGAAAAGTGGTGATCATGAGTGATCATCCCAAAGAAATGGGATTTCTATGGCAGATTGTAGTAAAATTTCCATTCTAAAGTAAGTTTGAGTTGAGCTCTCCCTGAAACTGAGAATACAAAGATCACAGAATCACCAAATCACCAAGGTTGGAAGAGACCTTCAGGATCATCCAATCCAACCATCCACCTATCACCAATAGCACTCACTAAACCATGTCCCTCAACACAATGTCCAGACATTTCTTGAACACCTCCATGTTCAGCGACTCCACCACCTCCCTGGGCAGCCCATTCCAGTGCCTGACCACTCTTTCAGTAAAGTTCTATTTCGTAACGTGCAGCCTAAATCTCCCCTGGCGCAGCTTGAAGCCATTCTGTCTAGTTCTGTCACTAGTTACACGAGAGAAGAGGCCGTCCTCCAGCTCACTACAACCTCCCTTCAGGCAGTTATAGAGAGCGATGAGGTCTCCCATGAGCCTCTCTTCTCCAGACTGAACAATCCCAGCTCCCTCAGCCGCTCCTCATAAGGCCTGTGCTCCAGACCCCTCACCAGCTTTGTTGCCCTTCTTTGAACACGTTCCAGGGCCTCAAAGTCTTTGTTGCAGTGTGGGGCCCAAAACTGGACACAGTACTGGAGGTGCAGCCTCACCAGAGCTGAGTACAGGGGGACAATCGCTTCTCTGTTCCTGCTGGCCACTCTTATTTCTGATGCAAACCAGGATGCCATTGGCCTTCTTGGCCACCTGGGCACACTGCTGGCTCATGTTCAGCCGAGGATCAATCAATACCCCCAGGTCCATTTCCTCTATGCAGTCCTCCAGCCACACCGCCCCAAGCCTGTGGCATTGCCTGGGGTTGCTGCAGCCAAAGCGCAGGACCCGGCGTTTGGCCTTGTTGAACCTCATCCCATTGGCTTCAGCCCAGTGATCCAGCCTGTCCAGATTCCTCTGTAGGGCCTCTCTACCGCCAGGCAGATTGACACTGCAGCCTGGGTACCTTGGGAAAATAATGTTCAGCACTTCCAGTGAGAATTGCTAGTTGGTCAGAAATGCTTTCCCAGAATGACTTTCTGTTAACAAAGTAAAATCTTACCTTTCTCCTTGCTCTTTTGCAACTTTTGAATTCATATATAGCTGAAAATAGACTGGCTAGCAGGCTTTCCCAAGTTACTTTGTCAATTAATTGTTTTAACACCTGTGATAGGTCTGTGAAATACAGCATTACTTAACTGTATCAAGGTACAAAGTACACCAGCTTAGAGAATGTGACAAATTCAAAGCCATATTCTTTAATAAGTTTGGAACAGATTTAATGCTGTGAAGCTAGACTTGGGATTAGTTACAGTAAAGTCTCCCAAATAAGGGTATCTCATTAGCAGAGCAATGTCTCTGTGTGCCTGTTTGCACAAGGTTGGAATATCTTTGTTTGCCTGTATGCGAATTAGTGAGGAGTGCTCAGTAAAAAAGTGCTAATGTACAAATTAATCTTAACGGATGCAAAAAGGTTGAACTGCTTTCCTCATTTCTTCATCTCATTGCTGTCTATTACCTGACATCCCCATTTAACAGCATGGTACACTGTATACAGGAACTGTCCTTCTCTGACTGCTTGACCAATGTGGAGTTTTCTTAAGGGGAAAAAAAAAAAGTCTTGTAATGCTATCAGTTTTTGTTTTTGTTTTTTAGTTTCAAAGTTTTTTGTTTAAGTTACTTGCTAAATTTTTTTAAAGGACCCCAGCTTTGGATGTTACATGGGGTGGAAATGAAGGGATGTGTGTGAAATAGACCATACTGTGTGTATTCTGAAGGTCAGCGAGATGCACATTGAAGTTAATATGGCTTTATTTGGTTGCTTACCAGTTCCTTGAATTTTTGTAGAAGTAAATACTGTTTTCTCATATTTTTAACTTTTTAAATTGCCAAATTAAGGCTAACGGGAATTAAAATCATCACATGCTGAGACTGTCACTTCTCAGAGTCACATTGCTGGCGTCGGTGCCTTTGGGCTGTTATCAGCGTAATTTTGCTGAACAGTGTATTGAGCTATGAAGCTCCTGGTTTTAAATGAGTGTGCATATACATGTACACAGACATATTTTAACACATGTACACAGTATAGCTAATGTCACTCTACATTTTTCTATGACATGACCATAACTTACTCCCTAGGCAGAGTATTGTAAGTATTTGTCACTCGTGTTACTCACTACTTCATGTCTTCTGTTTTCAAATGAATCTTAAAGAAAACATCAGGCGCTAATGAGACAAGAAATGGAAACTATTTTATTGAGACAAAAGCAACTGGAGGAAACAAATCATCAGTTAAGGGAGAGGGCTGGAGATATCCGTCGTAGTTTGCGTGACTTGGAATTAACAGAGGATGGCTACGAGAAGCTGAAGTCTCTGCCTGAAGATCAGCTTTCCATCCCAGAATATGTTTCTGTGAGTATTGTGTCCGGCATTGGCTTAAAATACAGCCATGTGGAAGGTCAGACTGGGTTGGAATTAACTTTCTTCATGACAGCTTTATATCTTCCTGTGTTTTGGTTTTGTGGCTAAACAGTGTTGAAACACATCAGGGCTTTGGCTGTTGCTGGAAATTGTAAGTTGTTGGGGCTTTGTCTTTCTGCTGCTTTGGCTCTAAAAAGGCCAGGGGTTGGCATGAGGTTGAAAGGGGACACAGCTGGGAGAGCTGACCTGTATTGGTTAAAGGGATATAGATAGTGTCATGCTCAGCAACACAAACTGGAGGAACTGGAGGCAGAGGAGGAAGGTGGGGGATGGTAGCTTCCAAGGTGGCTGTCACTCAGACTGGCTGCTTCTGGGAGGTGATGAGTGACGTCTCAGCATTGCTTTTTTTTTCTTTTAAATTCTCCTCCCTCCATTTTTTATTAAACAGTTGAGAAAACTTGACCCCTGAGTTCTCTTGCTTTTGGTCCTCCTGTTCTCCCTCTGTCCTGCTTCAACTGGGAGCAGTGAGCAGCTAAATGGAAAATAGGACTGTAGGCTAGGTTCAACCCAGTCCAAGCTATAAATTTCTTCTATTTAAAATCTAGGGGACCTACATATAGCAGAGCCAGACTACTTGTCTGTTCTTATTCTTCCCAACTAGAAAGGAGAAACTTCTGTGCAGATGTGGCATCCTGGCTTGTATCAGGAATGGTGCAGTGAGCAGGACTAGGGGAGTAAGTACAGAAAGGACACTGAGGTGCTGGAGCAGGTCCAAAGAAGGGCAATGAGGCTAGTAGAGGGCTTGGAGAATAAGTCCTACGAGGAGTGACTGAAGGAACTGGGGCTGTTTAGTCTGGGGAAAAGGAGGCTGAGGGGAGATATTGCTCTCTTCTGATAGCTGAAAGCTGCTTTACAGCGAGAGCGGGGCTGGTCTCTTCACACTGGTGACAGGTGACAGGGTGAGGGGAAATGGCCTCAAGTTGTGCCAGGGTAAGTTTAGGTTGGATATCAGGAAACACTTCTTTACAGAAAGGGTTCTGAAGCACTGGAATAGGCTCCCCAGGGAGGTGGCTGAGTCACCATCCCTGGATGTATTTAAAAACTGTTTGGATGTGGTGCTCAGGGACGTGATTTAGAGGAGGGTTGTTAGAGAGAGGGCAGTATGATTAGGTTGTGGTTGGACTCGATGACCTTTAAGGTCTTTTCCAACCTGAGCAACTCTGTATTTCTATGATGTGCTTCTGGATCCATGCATTCTAATTGGATTTGAGTAAAGAAGAGAACCTTTTAATGGCATGTTGAATAGAAATGCTGATTGATTTTATGGAGGTGAAACAAATAAGGTAGTTCAGTTAGATGATGGTAAATGACACACTGATCTGGAATACAACAGGCTGAAGGAATTTTTAACTCAGCTTGCCAGAACAAGTTCTGAAAACATCTCTTGTTTTTTTGTTATGCTTTCCAACTGGCCGTTTCCAGAAGCCAGACTGTAGCTTAAATTATACTTTCATTAATACATTATTTTAAAAAGTTTGTTAATTCTGGCTCATGTGTCAATATAGAGTCAGTGGTGGAACTCAGCTTGCAATGAAAGTACAATGCTTTCATAGATTTTTGGCATGTTCAGAGCATCCTGGCTTGCTTCTGAGAACGCAAAGGGTTTAGGGATGTAAACCGTGATTCGCCAAAGTGTTAGCATTGTAGTTATCTATAGAGGTAGTTATTAAGGAAGCTGTAATGATGATAATTCTAAGAAGCTCAGTGCATTAGTTATGTATAAATATTGTGTGAATGACCCTGTTGCTAGGTGGAAGTTGTAGTAATAGGTATGTACAGTGAAGTAAAACCTATTCCTGTTAGCAGAAGGGAGACATTCTTGGGAGCATCCGTTTCAGAAGTTCCAAAATTTATACTTTTGCAAGTGCTAGGAAAACTTCAAGGCTCCAGGTGCTAAAGCAAAAATGATGAGGTCGAGGCCCACGAGATTACTACTGCCTATTTTCCCTTTAGCCTTCAATATAACTATCTGGAAGTAGTTTGTTGCTGTTGAGTTCTGTGTTGCCATGGTCAACAAAGGAGATTTTAAACACAAATTCAGTTCCTTGTCAGCTTGCTTGAAGCCAGTGTGCAGAAAGGTTCAGTACTTCAGGAGTTGACTGACAGGCATGAAAGCTGGGCAGAACAGACTCCGGGAGCTGATAACTTGCCAGCTGCTGTAAACAAAGCTGTTGCAGTACAATCAGTGTGCTTAGATTGTATTAGAGTGCAGGAAAGGGTTCTCAAATACATGAAATGACAGTGGTCAGTAACACTCTTCTGTCCCAGTACCTTTCCTTGTCTCGGACATTCACCTGGCTACTTTGTCTGTGACCTAATACAGTTCTGCTGAAGCCTGTTTCCTCCTTATATGTGTGTCAGTTTGCTCTTTTGGAGAACTCCTGGTTTTTATCCCTTCCCAACGCTGCTCTGCTCCCCTCCCCAGAAGAAAACATTCTAAAGATACGCTGTGGTAAGATGCTGCTTTCTGCTGCTTTTCCCAACTTTTCATAATGGAATCAAGTGAACTTGGCTATGCCACTTAAGAATAAGCGATCACTGAGCTTTCTTGGCAGATCCAGGCACTGGGAGGCTACAAAGCTGTTTTACGTGTCCTGTCTATGCATCTAATTGACTTCTAAAGTTTAGGAAAGGAAGGATGCTGAGGGGAGAGGCGTAGTTTTTCAGATGTTTTCATCTTTGCTTACCTAAGGAGGAATGATGTGCTTATAAAATCGTGGAATCACCAAGTTTGGAAAAGACCTATGAGATCAGCTACATACCAGCAGACAGATACAATTTCAGGTTGCAGATCTATGCGTAGACAGATAGCAGTCTGTTTATGTTAAGTAAACTTCTCTTGGTGAGAAAAAGTTCTGCTTACAGAAAATTTGAGCAAGAAAGTTCCAGACTTGAAAACCTTTTTTTTTTTTTTTTTTTTCCCACTGTTTACCAGCATTAAACTACGCCATATAATTCATCAGCATGCAAACAAATTTATATATAGTATCTGTATTAATGTGAAACCAAGTACGCTGGACAAACTGCAGGAGTACAGGTTTTTAATGTATAGATCATCTTTTGAATTTTTGACCAGAGTTGAAACGTGTGATGTGTATTTCTATGTGTATTTCTCTTTTCTTCCACAAAGGGGTGCAGTAGTGACACGTTAAAAGAAAGACTGAGCGATGTTTCTCCTGAGTGATGATGACAAAGTGGAAATGTTGATTTAAGCATCTTTCTCTTAAAAAGTGTTGCTTCTTTGTTAAGAACTTGTAAAAACTTCGATTTATGTGGACGTGAAAAGTGAGATTGTATGTAAGAAGTTAGGGTTTTTATCACATACAAGAGTGATTTTTTTAAGAAACAGTTTATGACAAACATGGGAAGTACTTCAGGCCGCTGAACTGGTGCTTTGCTTGGCAGTTGAACCATAAAACGCGGTGTGTAAAATTGTGAGCATCTTATGCACACACCTGTAGAAATAAATTCAGCTGCCTTTTTGTTTGTTTAAATGAGTCTGTGGGTATGTCTCAGTTCTTCAGTTTAGTAAGTTGTTCAGAATGAACTAGAAAGATAGGTAAATGCTTTTTTTTTTTTTTTTTTCTTCTGAATCCTGAAGGGAAAACAGTTGTTAAAAATGATATTTGATTTTTTTTTTTTTTCCCCAGTGTCTTTCATTTGCTTAATTATTGCCTCTGAAGCTCACATGCTTTCTTCTTTAAGAATGCTCTTAACTGAAGCAGCTGTTTTCAGATAACTGCATTTAACAGAAGCTAATTTTCCCTTCTTTTGCACCCTGCTGTTTCTAGCCCAACTATACACTGAGATGCTGGAGCAGATCCAAAGAGGGGCAATAAGGCTGGTGAAGGGGTGGAGAATATGCCCTACGAGGAGTAACTGAAGGAGCTGGGGCTGTTTAGTCTGGGGAAAAGGAGGCTGAGGGGAGACCTTATTGCTCTCTTCTGATAGCTGAAAGCTGCTTACAGCAAGAGCGGGACTGGTCTTTTCTCACTGGAGAGAGGTGACAAGATGAGAGGAAATGGTTTCAGGTTTTGCCAAGGTAAGTTTAGGTTGGATATCAGGAAACACTTGTTTACAGAAAGGGTTGTGAAGCACTGGAATAGGCTCCCCAGGGAGGTGGTCGAGTCACCATCCCAGGATGTGTTTAAAAACCATTTGGATGCAGTGGTCAGGAACATGATTTTTGTGGAGGGTTGTTAGAGTTAGTGTAGTATGGTTAGGCTGTGGTTGGACTCGGTAAGGTCTTTTTCAACCTGAGCAATTCTATGGTTCTGTGCTTCTACTTCAAATGGCTACCAGTTGGTGACAACAAAGCTTGTTTTTCAAGAAGAATAATTTTAGAGGGGAAAGGATTTGATTGAAATTCAGTTATCAGCTTTAGTTGTCATCAGGCTAATTCCTAAATAATCCAGACAGGTGAAAGCTGTTGTCAGTTGGTAGCTGTAGTTAAGACTTAACTACAGTTAAGCTAGAGAGCAGCATTGCGTGTGGAGTTCTAAAGCATTTTCTATAAGGAAGTAGTTGAAGCCTATTGTAGGTCAGAAGTTAGAAAGAACACACAGAACTAATTCTGCTGTTCAGTTTCATGTCAACACAATGTGATTTCACTTTTACATGAGAAAAACTCTTTAAAAATTATAGGGCTAGATTACTCCAAAAATGAAACAGTAATGAAACTGTAAAATAAGATAATGGTATAGAAATAAAATAGCTTCTGGTATAGAAATAAATGGTATAGAAATAAAATAACTAATAAAATAGTTAGTTCACTTGTAAATGAAAGTAAAATTCGTAGTTGCCATTTGGAATTCACAGAATATGAAGAAAAAGTTACAATACCATTTTCTGAGTCAAATTAGACTGTAATTTTAAAAACGTATTGCTTGTAGTATGAACAAAATTAAAGATGTAAGTAAGCTTAGGCATATCAAAGCCTTCGATGCTTCTCATAGTCTCCTGCTTGCAGCAGAACAGAGACCTGCCTTCCCTCATGGAAGCATTTGCTTGCTGTGGAACGCTTCCTTTATCTGTGTGTTTTCACTTGTTTTTCTTCTTTAATTGTATGTAAGACAAAATGTCAAGGGATGGGAGGGGAGGAGCAATGCAGTAATTTTTGCATGAAAATAATGCTTGGTGTTCTATTCACCCCCCAGAAGAAATACTTTTAAGTATTGAGTTAACATGGAGGTTACAGTAGGAGCGAGGGCGTAACGTCATAAAAGCTCTTTCTTCATTTTTTTATGCTTTGTTTTTCACTACTGTGTTTTTATTACTCTGTTTTGTAGTGTTCTTGCTCAGTAAAAGCATTTTAGGAAAGTTTTATAGCTGTGAGATTTTCTTTTTTATATGAGACTGTGCCTGTGACTGGAGTGGGATGGGTGAAGGGAGGAATATGTGGGACGGGTTGTTAGAAAATCCTTTTAAAAGAGTTTTGTTCAGATAAGATGTAGTTCTACAGGAGCTGAAACCAAAGCTTTCCAGTTGCTTCAGTTAGAATCCATGTCACAAAACCCAAACATACTAGTAGTATGGTTCTGTAAAGCAGCTGAACCCATAGAGCAACCTGTTATGTTGATATTGTGTGGGGGGTGCTCTGTTGTTTTTTTTTCCTGGATGTTTGCTGTGCCCACTTCTACGCTTGCTCTTTCTTTTTCCTTAATGAAGAAGGAGCAGACTTAGTACACTGAGCTGTCAGAAGGCAAAACTAATCTCTCTTCTTTGCTTCACACCCCACAAAAACGTAGCTTGGTTCAGGGAGCTTAGAAGTTAAGCTGGTAAATTGCTAGTCAAAGGCTCTAGAGTTGCCACAAGTGGGTGTGGGACCTCGTGGTCACCTATGACCTGTAGCTTTTAGTAAGCAGCCTTACTGAGAGCTGCCTCAGTTGAAAAGAAATGTGTATTTTTGCCAGTCTTTGTTTTGAATATGTATCCTGTTCTTTTAGATTCGATTCTATGAAGTGGTCCATTCCTTAAGAAAAGAGCTGGGTGATCTACAGATGAAGAAGGACACGTTAACAGAAGAAGTAAGCGAATACAAATCCCAGCTGAAGGCTCTAACAGAGGTCTGTGCACTCTAATCATCTCAATTAAGAAACTGTAAACATGAATTATATGCCAAAATGGTTGCATTTATGTGCTTCAGCATTATTTTGTGTTCACCTCTGATCATGTCTGAGACCGGAATAATGATGTTACTTGGGATTTGCATGGGCATTTTCATTCAGTGTGCCTTTTACTGTGCTCTGACTTGCTTAATTCTATAGGAAAATTTCAGGCTTCTGATATGTAACTGGCATTCATGTAAGTTTTTGTTGCAGGGATTTATTGACGTGATAGTTGATACATTTCTTGGTTCAGACCTTCATTTAATACAGACATTTCTCTATTGCTATAATCCACATGATGGAGCTATCCACCTTTCCCACAACTTCATTTTTCAAATGTTAAAGCTTACTGCATTTTTCTTCTGACACTTTTGAGAAGGCACTAGAATGCTACCTGTGTTAAGTTGAAGTGGTTTTATTCAAATGCTTGTACGCTGTTTGCTTAATCATGCTGAAATATTGGAAAATAATTAGTCAGACTGAATAATGTCTTTAAAGAAGAAAAGGTAAGGAAAAAGATCAGGATGTTGAAATGTCACCAGGGACAAAGCGTACAGTTGTGAATAAGAACGAGTCTTTAGGACTCATTTCCATTTCTCTGAGACCTTATTTCCAAGGATTCAGATAGGATGGCTTGATACATTTTGAAGAATTTGTAGAGTTAGGCTTTGTTATTGTTTACTGAAAAAAAAAAAAAAAACCAAGTCTCCTCTTTGTCCATTCTGCATAGAGATGACATATTTTAGATATTTAATGAAATGTGGCCTCGTGCAGCATATCTGGGGACATAAGAGTATTTTGTTTGTAGCAAGCTCAGCTTCAAACAAATGATGAGTACTGCTGTAAGCAGGTATCTCAGGTTGTTTCAGATCATAAGGTGAGAGGAACATCAAAATGTGAGACTGCTTCAGAATCTCATTGCTAGTGAACCGAACCTAATTTACATAAACATCTCTTGCAGGATACAAATTAATGTACTGTTTGAGTAGCCTTGTCACTTGAGCTCCTTTGGTAAGGTCAGATGTTAATACAAGAAAACTTGTCAACAGGAAATAAAGCATTGTTTCATTCCGAGTGTTACTTCAGCTTTCCAACCTTCTTTTTCTACTTTCACGTAATAAAGAATTCTATTCTATCTAGCCAGAAAAGAATTCAGGAAGTCTAAAGCAAAATCCAAAGTTGTCCAGTCTGTTCTGCCAACTCTATGAAAACATGAAACAAATTCATCAAATGAGTCAACTATTGCCTCACATTAGCTATGTTGTGTTGTGACAGAAAGTCTGTAGTGCTTTAATTTCATCAAGGATGTGAGCTGTAGTTTAAGTCTATGGTACTGCAATGTGAGACATGAAAGATGCATAGAATGTATTTTTCCTCTTCTCATGATCATTCATATTACCTCTTAGTTGGAAAGCAAAACAGGGTAGTTCTTTTCTCTGAAAAGTACTTGCAGACTTGCTGTGGCTGAATGTTTTTTTTTTCATGAAGTCAGGTCTTCAGATCCACTAAATCTTTTCTAGACTTGCTGCCATGTTTTTGGGGGTTGCTGTTATTCTTAGAAAACGAGCTTACCTGGCACAATAGATCTAGCCTTACACAGAAGTAAGTACTGGGAAACTCAGTATAGTTGCTTGGTGTTGTAACTTCTCAGTTAACAGTGTGCAAAAATCCAGCTGCACCAGCTATCGTTTGCTTCTGTAAAACTGGAATTGTTATTGTAGCCTCATAAAAGAACTACTTTTGTAAGACTTGTTAAATCCGTATGTTCTTTGTCTCTAGGCAGTTCATAAAGTCATTTGTAATACAACAACTTTTATTTCTGACTTCATTAGATAAAAGTCACCTTTCATGTACCTGCACCTGTATCTCTTAGGTATACAAAAACACTTTACAGAAGGAGCAGAAGGTTTTAAGTGTGTACAGCCTCTGTTAGCAGTAATTTAATCCTTGGTATGCGGAGCAGTAAGACCACTAAAATTCCACAGCTTTGTTAGAGATTTCTCTTGTTGACTGCCTGTTGCTGCTCTGAGTTAGCACTTAATCAAAGCCTGCTGAATCTGTAGGGCAGGCCTAGTAGGGTGGAAAGCTGCTTCTGACAACTGGTAGCAGAAGAAAAGTGTGCAAAAAGTGCTCTTGAACACTGGAACATACTTAATAGCTTTTGACACAGCTAGCGTCAAAAGATCTTTGCCTCTTTCTTGTTTTTAAATTCTGCAGTTCTGCCGCTGTTCATGGCTGCTGCTTGTGCAGTTCCTTTGATTCCAGAATCATTGTCAGCAGTCCTAGGAGGGAGGCAGTGGAACTTGCAGAAGTGATGTTCTTGTATTTCAGTGCTGATGGATCTGTTACCAGATGTATGGTATGGGCTTTTTCAGTCCTCCTTTTCTGGTGCTCTGTACTTACAGCATCACTGCTGCCTTTGGAGGTACAGATTAAAGAAGAAAGTCCGTGTGTAGAGTTGTATTGCCAGGAGCTTCCCAGAAACAGAACCAGCTCCTGGTGTGGGTATTGCCATGTGTACTATTTTCAGTTCTGTGTTTCCGGAGTGCTTAGAACCTTCACTCAAACAGATGTAATTTGCTACTGGCTCTGTCTCTCAAGGCTCAGAGAATCTGAGAAGGAAATGGTGCTTTTCTTTTCAGCTCTATGAGGTTAAGTATTGCTTTCTTCATTTTAGCTATGTATCTTGACAATGTTTTCCTGGAATTCAGTCTTCATATAGTTTTATCAGGGCTTTCTTCTTGTGTTTATATATATATATATATATATATATATATATATGTGTATATATATATATTTTTTCTTTTTCCTGTAGTGTTGCCTTCAGGGCTTGGAATCAAATTTATAGTTTGACTGTTATCTAAAAGCTTTGATTAGCTGAAAGACAAAGCTGAATGCATGTAGGGCAAAGATCTCTTCTAAGACCTTGTCTCTGAATCAGGATTACTAGCTGTCAGGTTTTACTAGACAAATCTAATAATTTTATGGTGATAATGTTTCCTATCTGAAGGAAGAATGTTTCTATAGCCTTCAAAGAATGTACTACCCTATTGCATTCAAAGGGTCAGTTGGCGCTAGATGTATCTGTGTTGTAAAACTGAGGCTCCTATTGCTACCCCAGAAAGACTGTTTCCTAAGATTTCTTCTGAAGTTTCACATCTGTAATTAAAGGCAGCAAACTGGAAGCTTTCCTCAATTCACTTCCCTTTCCCATTCTTTCATGCAGTGCTTTAATTACCTGGCCTTTACATTGTTCTCTGGAAAAGGCAGATAAGGCTTCAGTTCTAGGTCACGTGTATGTCTCTCTTAATTATTATTTATACTTATGTTGTACAGTAAAAAAAATGCCAAGAAAAATATTTTACCAAAAACTGTTAGCTTAGGGCAGTAGGTTAACATTTTGAAGTCTCAAGAAAACACATGTATTTATGAAAACTGTCTTTTCAGTCCAGTGTTTTTTTCTATTTCCTTGGCTGTACAGCTGTGGCTATTATAGAATGCTAGGCATTGCTCTTGAGGACTTTTTTTAGTCTCCAATGCGGTGATCCCAATGAACCTTTTCTCCTGAGAGCATTTCAATGAAGAGCAGATATTCATCAGCTCAGATGCAGAGAAAAATTGCTGTTGTGCTCTTTCCATCAATAATGCATTTCCATCAATAACGTCAATGATGGGCTCAAGTGCACCCTAAGCAAGTTTGCTGATTGACACCAAACTGAGTGATGCAGTAGACACATGAGAAGGAATTGAAGACATCCAGATGGACCTCAAGAAACTCAAAAGATGGGCGCGTGTGAACCCTGCGAGGCTTGGCACAGCAAAGGGCAAGGTTTTGCACTTGGGCTGGAAGAATCCCAGGCATCTATACAGACTGGAAGGAGCAGTCCTGGAGAGCAGCCCTGCAGAAAAGAACCTTGGGGTCCTGGTGGATAAAAAACTGAACATGAGCCAGCATTGTGCTCTTGCAGCTCAAAAAGCAAATGGATGCTGGGCTCCATCAGAAGAGGGGTGGCCAGCAGGGATAGGGAGGTGATTGTCCCTCTCTACTCTGCCTTGGTGGGGCGCCATCTGGAGTACTGCGTCCAGGTCTGGGGCCCCCAGTACATGAAAGACAGGAAGCTGGAGAGTGTCCAGAGGAAGGCCACAAAGATGATCAGAGGGCTGGTGCACCTCCCTTACGAAGACAGGCTGAGGGAGCTGGGCTTGTTCAGCGTGAAGAGAGGGCTTTTTGGCAAGGTACTCCACAAGGAGCAGATGCATTCTGCAGGGCAGCAGGGAATTGCCTCCGCTGCTTGAGGGGCAGACCTGTCAGGGAGCAGCTGACTTTGTTCTCTGCTGTAATCTGATGCTAAGGGGGCAGAGCCAGGAGCAGCGGTGGACCAATCCCATGAGTGTTTAAAATCTGCCTCTAGGGAGCGCTGTGAACAGGGTGAGCAAACAGGGCAAGGTGTGGCAGTTTGCGCAGGGCAGGAGAGCAGGGCGTAGTATCTCTGCCCACTAGTAGACCGGCCACCTATCTGGTACCTCCCCAACAGTATATGGTTGATCTTTTCCAACCTGAGCAATTCTGCGATTCTATATCTTGCAATGGTCTCCACCAGGCAGAAAGTCTGGTGAGAAAGAAGATGGCAATTCAGAAAGTCCCTGCCTGAAAAAGTGGCAGTTCAAGTCTCTGGCTCCAGCAAGTCTATTACTACCAGAGAAGGGAGGCAGGGACTCCACCTATGTGAGGTGTGAGCAGGTGGGTGACCTGCTCAGTATAATGGCTGTACTCAAGGAGGAAGTGAGAGATTAAGAAGTAACTGAGAGTGTGAGCAGGTGACAGACTTGTAACTCTCTGTGAGACAGACACTGGCAATATTCACTAGACAGTGGTGGACCCCCTGCCCTGCCATTGCTGAGCAGAGTGACACAATTTGAGAGGAGGAGTGGAAATGGGTCATGACTCAGTGATGTAG